TGGCTGTGAACGTATTTCATCGAATGAAGTATAAAATAAAAAATTCATATAAGTTCCTCTAATAACGAAATAGTCTAAAAGAGAGTTATTTATGTGTTCGTGTAATTACTTATTTTAAATTTATTCAATTATTTTAAATAACATGGAGCCAGATCAGATGATATTTTAACAATTATTTTTCAAACATTTTATTTGCATGGATTAATGATGATAATTGATGATTTATTTGCACATTGATGTATGAATATGTGTAACATTCTCTCGGTAACGTGAACAGTTTAACCCCTTGTACTACGATTTCTTTCACAGTTAGTCGTAATAGAATGAGACAACTTTTGTTTCCTATATGTCTTCATTTACCTTCATTCCTACATTTCGATAACAGAACAATTCAATTTCGTTCCCGACGTAGAAGAAGCGAATAATATTCATATTTAATATATTAGGTATGAAATCTTCATCACGAAGGGGTTAATATGTAATTGTTCGCAAAAGTAATTGAACACCTATTGAAACAGGATAACTATTTTAAAAATTGTACTAACTATAAAGTGCTTTAATAGTATCAACTATAAAGTGCTTTAATAGTACCAACTGTAAGTCTTTAATAGTTCCAATTATAAGTCTTGAATTGAATAACAATAAGTCTCAGCATCGCTATGCAACATTTGTTTATATTGTTTGCAACAACACTATCTAATCGAAATTGTTAACATGAGATTTAATTTGATATTCTTGATATTTTCATTGGATCAACTCCAACGACTTTATAACATTTTTGTAGGAATATAATGAAATGTGTAGAAGTTAATATTACATCTGAAAGATCACGTGCAAAATTAGCAACGCGCCCAAATAATGGGACTTATTTTTTGGTACTTGTTTAGATGCTCTTAAATATTTGTTACATCGATTTATGTAAAATTCGTTTATTTGCAGAATCCAGGAGACGCGAACCACGAAGATGGGAACAATGCGATGCACTCTGAAATCCCATCTCCTCCGGTCATCAATACGTCGTCCTTGACTCTGTATTGCGATATACATCGCGATGCTCAAAAATTTTATTGTCAGACGTGCAGTATGCCCTTTTGTAATGACTGTGGAATTCAGCATCATCCGGGCCATATTACAGTCAATTTAATGGAGGCTGTCGAAGGTGCAGAAATACAAGCGAGTGAGGTACTAAAAGAAGCTCGACTTGGGATCTCAACGCTCACCGACGAATTAGATTCTGTACAGGTAAGAATACACCTAATTGAGAGAATAATATAAATATTTCAATATCCCTATAAAAGTATATTATATATAGAAATTATTTATTTATTTATTTATTTATTTATTTATTTACATCGCAAGTATATATGATTTTTAAAGTCAAGGTCAACCTAAGACTATCCATTTTGGATTTCCGAATTCGTCCTTCTAATCGGCGAACGTTGCTGAATTAAAAACGGTGCACTGGCCTGAAACAAAAAAATTAAATATATAAGATTGAATGCGTAAAAATGATATGCAATATCGACGTATTTCTTAAAATGTATTTCTTAATTCATTAAACACCAAGTTATCTTATATAGAGACCCTCTCTTGTTGAGCCATCCTGTATATCCAGTTCATTGATAGAAGTAAACTGTTCGTTCCATTTCGAACTTTCAAAAGTAGCTGTATTATTTTATTATTATTCATAAAGTATGCTACAAAATGATCGGCAAAATATCTTCTAAAGTCTGAAGATTTATAATATACAGAACTTTATCTGTGACCTTAAATGGCCCCGAATGATTATTTTGGATATAAACGAAAGACTCTATGGTGTGTGTCACGTTTTTTTACGATTTTGACAACAACCGAAATTTTTATTTATAATTTAATAATATATCTTTACAGGTGGCCGCTGAGATCTTGGAACAGAAAGCAAGGCAAGCAACTACAGATTTGATGCTGTGCACGAGAAGGGTGGCTGCAGCTTTAGAAGCCAGAGAGCAAGAGTTGTTAGGTAAAATTGAGAAAGCTAGGCAGCTGAAGCATTCTGCGCTCAAAGCAAGGAACGACGGACTTAAGAATGGAATATCTCGACTAACGTGTGCTGCTAATAAACTCAGTGAAGCAATGGAGTCTAAAACGCTTTCTAATGATCCACTAATTTTGTTACTTACTAAGGACATGGCTTCGGCTGAGGTAGTTATTAACAAAACAATAATTCTTTCAACTAACAAAATTAACTCGTCTAGCGTATGGCATGAGATTATTATTATTCTCGAATGAATTATATATATCATAAACAATACAAAATTTACTATTAAATACCTATACGCGAATTAACATTTATTATGTACAACTACAAAATATTTGTTCTATCATGAAGTGGTGTTTGGTAATTGTTGGGATATAATTGAAATTCTAATATAAATAACAGCTTTTGCTACTAACAACTAAAATTTTTGAACGCAGTTTTTGAGCACTTGATCATTGGAAATTCTAAAGCTAATTGCTTTGATCGCTTATGAATCTATGTTTATTAAATACATTGCGAATACTCGCAACATTTTCATAATACATAATTGCATTCACGCAATTATTTCCCTAACCATTGCAAATAAAGGGTTTGTTTCAGATAAAATATTGTATAGCACTAAGGAAGATACACGCTCTGTGATGATAATTCTTTGAGTTTTAATTATGGAAAATTCACTTTAAATAATATTACTTATATTTGTATTTTACAGAAGCCATTATCAAATTATGAAACTTCAAATTAAACGTGACAGTATTTGACAGTTTTTTGTATTATCAAGAAGTAAAATATATTAGGTGATCAAGTTGTTTGATACATCCTGTATATATCATATTCGACGTAAATATATTACTCCATTTTTTATCTGCCCATCAGAAAATTATTATCGCCAGACTGCAGATCTTTATGCAAAATAAAAATTTTCTTTGCGAATTGCGAGAAGCAATTCTTTCTTACGGGGGTTGTGAGCGGGTACCCGAAATTTCGGGTCGGGTCCTGAAAGTTCGTAAAGTTCTGGTACCCGTGAACTCGGGTACACAATTTTAGTATGTTGAAAATAATATAGACAATATAATGTATACTGAAATTTAATTTGTTCTAAAATTTATATTTTGAAATTTAATTATTCTACTATTCCATTTTGTATTATTTACTCGTACGACTATACAATAATCGTTTGCAATATTTGTTTGAATTTCTGATGCTTGGAAAAATATGCATTGTCTCTATTAATTACAGGTCTTCCAGATACGCCAGAGCCGACAATGTCTTCCCTCGCAAGAAGAAAATTGGATTTCTTTTAACGGCTTGGAAGGAAGTATACTTAATGCTATCGCGAATTTAGGAACTGTCATAGTAAATAACCCGGGTCCCATAGGTGACCGTCGAGCAGTGAGAGGTCGAGGAAATTCGCCGCCGCAATCATTTCTTAGACAAGTAGCTTGCGTTAATTCTACTTCCTTACCCCGAGGAAGACCAGTCGCTTCGAATAGTTTTCCTGTTACTGTTAGAATAAATCGTGGTACAGAATTGTCAGGAAAGTCAACAAAGCCGTTTAAAATTCTTGGAAACGACGGCGACGTGCAAGATAATCTTTGTCGACCATGGGGTATAGCATGTGATAGAGAAGGACATATAGTGATCGCTGACAGATCGAATAATCGTATTCAGATATACGGACAAGACTTCAGTTTCTTAAGAAGATTCGGTAGTCATGGCACTGCGCCAGGACAATTTGATCGTCCAGCTGGCGTAGCAGTTGATTCAAGACGTCGCATAATTGTAGCTGATAAGGATAATCATCGTGTACAGGTGATTATTGCAAATTAGTGTTGTGCAGTTTGATGGATTGGACGTGAAATGAGAATCAGTTAGAGAAGAACATTTCGAACAAGAATTGAGTCGTAAAAGAATAGTCTTCAAATTAATGAGAACTGGTATTCAATATTATTCATTCTTGGCTAGAAAATTTCATTGTTAGTTCAACTTACTTCTGAAAGAGAGAAGAAAATTCGAGTTTAACGCGGCTATAACATAGAGAGTACAGTCTCAAATTCGAATTTAACGATCTCCTATCCTGTGTCCTTCGCGTCACCTTGAATTCAGAAAATTATCTTTTTGAATCATTCCAATTTACCGAGATTCTCGATTGATTTATTAGTTCGACACTTTTAAAACTAGATATTTTGCGTTTCGATAACAAACACGAATCCAAATGTCATTCTTTTGTCGCCCACAATTTTTGAGTAATTTTATTTAACGTAAAATCAAGTTATTATGTTAAACAATGTTCTCTTCTTACTATTTTAGTTTAATTCAAAGCTTTCAAAAGACCAAGTTGAAATTTCTATAAAATAACGTTTGACATTATTATTTCAGATATTGACAATGGAAGGCCTATTCCTTCTAAGTTTTGGTGATAAGGGATGTCGATGTGGACAGTTTAACTACCCATGGGACGTAGCAGTAAATTCTGAATGTCAAATAGTTGTATCTGATACAAGAAATCATCGTGTGCAATTGTTTAGTCCAGAGGGTGTGTTTCTACGAAAGTACGGGTACGAGGCAGCACCGAATATGTGGAAGCACTTCGATTCTCCGCGTGGAGTAGCGTTTAACCCAGAAGGCAATGTTGTTACAACAGATTTTAATAATCATAGAGTAGTAATTATTGATGCTGATTTTATGCATGCTAGAATATTCGATTGTAAATGTACAGACAATGCAAAACAGTTCCTAAGACCACAAGGTTTAGTGATCGATGACGATGGTAATATTATTGTAGCTGATTCTAGAAACCATAGAATACAAATATTTGATTCTACTGGTATATTAAAATGGAGATTTGGTACCTTCGGAAAGGGTGAAGATGAAATGGACAGACCATCGGGCATTGCTTTGCGTCCCGATGGTAGAATTGCACTTGTAGATTTTGGTAATAATCGAGTCCTTATTATTTAAATTAGTTCATTCATTTATAAATAAGATTTTATACACGTTGAATGTCCAACAGTGATGAAAAAAATAAAAAGACAAAAACAAAATAAAACGTTGCTGTTTTCCTCGATTTTAGTAATAAGCGTGTGACGCTAAAACTCATGGAACAAGCGTTAAATGCAATATTTTTTTACTTATTGTACATAATATGGATAACCGCGTAAGGTTCCTTTCATACTTTGAGTGCCAAGCAATAAGTACAAAATGAACTTTTTGTTCTGAAGTCATATCGTTATAAACGTGTTACATAAAAAGAGATTATTTTGACATTATTCATATACAATTACCCATCTCTGTAAATTTGTGGTGCGGGCTGAAGAAATGATAAATTTGAGAAGTATTACTTTAGTATTATAACAAAGAATTATATTAAATGATATAGAGTAACTTATAGTCTATGTCTTCGAATTACGATACTATATTTTATCTATTTATGTAACGCAGTTACAACGTATTTCTATTATTTTATCAGACGACGATTGCGTAGAAAAGGCAAAATATATTGATATTATTACATGTGGACAATGACATTCTTTATCCTAATACAATAGAAACATGCAGTAGAACTGAAAAGATGAAAGTAATGCAATAAAGCAATGATCAAGATGACAACGGTATTGGAAAACCAACATTTGTTGGAACAGTAGAAACCTAGAACGGTGTCCTATATTTTTTTCGATAGAACCATCAAGAACGTCAATTTAATTAGTGCAAAATTTAAATTAAATTTATTGTCACACTTTCTAGCTATATCAAACTTCGTTCTATGTTTGCTTGTATTACTTCACATAAAAATACACTATCGATCGAGAGTAATGTATGTTATACAAATTTTCTTATTACTCAATTAAAGAAATATTTCTTTCCTTCTTTTACGTGTACGGGTACCTGCCGAACGAAATTCAAAAAGCGAAATGAACAGCATACAATATTATTGTGACCACTGTCATAAAATCCTGTATATTTATATAAATTAATGATACTACTGCCTCCTTTTAAATATACAAGGAGACTAAAATGCAATTTGATGTTAGCATGTATGCATGGTCGTTGTACTTAAAAGTTTATTTATGAATGTATGCATCCAAGACGGAAAGAATTGTACGTAATAAGGAGGAAAATCACGAAAAATAGTTTTAAAAACTGATACGAAAGATAAAAATAAAAAAGAAATCACACGAAGTCCAGAAATTTT